TCTGTGTTTAGTGACCATCGTTGCTGACGCCATTTTGAACACAAAAGTTAAGTTTCTTTCTTGCCGTTTATACGTCCTTGCTGTGTCTTTAGATGCAGGAGGTCGTGAAATCTGAAATTTCGTTAAATATGTATCTTCAGATATATTTAGTGAAATTTGAAAATGATACTTGTATTGGCGCCTTGCGTTGCTTTGGGCGTGCTACACCTGTACGTTTGATTTCCGAGAATAGTTTGTTCTGATGAATGAAGTTCGTGTTTAATCAAACACAGCAGTATTCATGTTGCTACACGGTTTTATGGTAAATAGTAAGGTTGGTCTGATAGTGATTTATGAATTTGTAGTGATAGTGAGTACTGTGAAAGCATTGTGACCGAGCGGGTTTGCATAGCGGTAACGTTCTAGGCTCGTGTTTGAGTTGTGCTTCGTTCGAATTTCAGCCAAAACGCTGATAGATTTTTAATGGTTTCCTACGGCGTGCCTCTCGATTACCTTAAGCAGTTTGACATAGTACTGGTACATCATGTTTTTCATTATTTTCTCTTGGCGAAAGGCACTATTGCTTACTTAATTAACCACAACCACGCTCTTCCAGATCTTAACGTAAGTATTTACGATTCACTTTCATCTTTCCATCTTATTTGGCGGTATATAATCTTTGCAGTTGTTAAGTAGTTTAAAAAAGTCAGTCACTCAACAATCTGCACCTTTTCGTGATTTAGACATATGACGCTTATTCTTCAGCTGCGAGATGTCGGATCGTTTATGGATTGATGGGGTTTTACCATGCACCGTCACGGGAGGGGTTGATATGTACACTGAACTGTTCGTAAGGGATTTCCCTCTTGGTCACAAGACGCTCGTAGCGCTCGTAACTTATACTGCTGCTTCCGAGCTCGCCCTTTTTTCATTCCTTCTTAGTAACATGCGGGTTGATACGGCTGGAATATTTTGATGAGGTACCTGCCATTTTCTTTGTAAAGTCAAGTTCAGAATTCTTCCAGTATATCCTGGTTTTGGAGTTCGGGTAGTAAAAAGTAAATATCCCACAATACACTAGATCTGCGAACGTTTATCAGTTATTTTTACCATGTGTCACGGGTCCTGGTCTAGGTTGCCGTACTTACTTTCACTGGTCGATTAGGTACGCGTAGGACGAACAGGCGGATATTTTGTTTTTAGTAATAACCTCACTGAAATAGAACCAACTACTAGACGGTATCTCCACATTTTTAACATGATATAATTGTGGTTGATACAGAATCGTTACAAAGAAGCGCCTTTATTACTGTAAATCAAGGAAGTGGGTATTTGGTATGTGACACTATGCAGTTTGGTATATGGGTACTAACGTTTCGTAGGAATCTGCTGTCATCTTCAGGAAGATGAATGAAGGCTTGTCTGAAACGGTAGCACCAAACTGCCAAACTACACGGGGTTTCATCTCAGAAGACCGAAATCTTGATTTAACTGCCGTGAGAACTGAATTGCCTACTTTTGTATAATCTTGCAATTGATATCTGCTGTGGTAATTTTCGGTTGAACTTCATTCATTAGGAATGAAGCGACATGCGTGCTCGTGTATTTGTCAGTCTCCCTCTTCTTTTTTCTTGTGGAGGGTGGAGGACAGTTGCCTAGTTTGTTATATCCTTTATATCGTGGGTCTTCCTTTGAAGCGTCTGGGAAGTGATAAACTTCTGCGCAGTGGTTTCGTGCATTGATAACATAGAATTCTTTTTTCGCGTGCAGAAGTATGATATATATACATAAGTGTTTCTTCTCCTTGTTACTTTACACAGCTTCAGTGCGTTCATATTTGTCACTGGACGTTTTGGTAAGCATGAAGTGACGTAAATCCTTTTCCAGCATCCGTCGGCAAGCGACACAGCAGTTTGTATTTGAACTGGCTTGGTTGAGGGTGCTGTTGTTTTTCAGCACTGTGTACGTATTCCAGTAATTATTCGAAAGCAAGCTTGTTGATATCGCATTCTATGCTCCCAAAACAGTAGGCATTGGGATTTTATTATGAAACATCGAAACTAGGTGGAATCTGCCGCTTGAAATACAGTGTAGGATATATGAAGTAATTGTGTTTGTTCTCAACAAGTTAAAGGGGAAGATACGGAAATTTGAAAAAAGATCCATACGTCCTTCTGATCTGTGTGAAACCCTTCACCATTTGTATTAACATTATAGGAGAGCGTTGTGTTTTTAAAATATATATTTTTTTAAGAGCCAGATTTTGTGGCCTGCTGACACTTCATTGCAGTACTTCAGATATTATGAAATATCTTTGTGAATATTACAGCTAGGCATGTCATTTTTTTTTCACCAAAATACTCGTAAAGGACAAAGCTTTAATCTCCAAGAATAAATTATTTACATGTAACATATTAGTTTCGGTTCTCTTATTTCGATCCTTTATCAACATCAAAATACCGTATTTACGCATGTATAGGCCGCAGCACAATTTTCAGACAAATTATAGAAAAAATAATTTTCTTGGAATATTATTTCAGGAGTATTACACCCTGTATTACTAATTATGAATATTTTTTTTTAATGAAGTGTGATTTCGAATATAAGCCGCACCCCAGTTTTCCTCTTGAATTTTTGGCAAAAAATGTGCGGCCTATACATGCGTAAATACGGTATTGTTTTATATCATGGGGCTCCTGTGCTCTAAATTCCCGTTTCCCTCTTGGAGAATATTTGTTGTACATAGAAATGTATTAAGTAAAAATTTATTGCAGATTGGATAAGTGAGTTATACATTATATCAGTATTAATGTAGGCACATGTAGAATGGAGTGCAAAAAATGGTCGATCAGATTTTAAGAAGCAATTGACACTGCATATCTTACCACTTGTTGTTTAGAACCCTCCATGTATGTATGTATGTATGTATGTATGTATTTCGTCTCTATAGATCATTGTTACATGATATAGGACAAGTCAGTTACTGTACATTGGCTGATTACAATAAGAGAATAAAGTTATAATACTTAAAATTGTTTACAATAGTTAAGATTTCACATAGTGTGAGGTGGAATCCATATTAAGTCCCCTCGGCACGTCGGCTTCCGTATGTCTTATTGTGCCTGTGCCTGTCCATATTTGTGACAATGCTTTACCAATATACTCTTGAGGTATCAAGCTTTGATCTCTGAGAACATATCTTTTTTTGTATTTTATTTACTTGGCCTACAAATATTATTTTATTTACATTTCTTTAGCAATATTCAAATGATGTTCCACAATCATTAGAGATCACCGAACCGCATAAACCCATTCTATTTACAAGCTTTAAATATAAAAGAATAATGTAAATGAATAAAATGGATTTGAAAAAAAAATGTCCTTTTTCTAACTCAATTTTCAGTATCTGCATCCCTTAAGACAAAGTTTGAAATGTTTGATTGATAGATATTCAGTGGATTCCTGTTGAAATAGCTTCATGAATAGGATAACCACATAAACTGGGCACAGACACCAAGGGCTGTGCATTATGAGCTAGATATATTAACTAGAAGTCGGTTTTGAAGTGAAATGTGTAGTATGTTTCATCTGTTGAACGAAAAATCATGAGATTAAAAATCAGCCCTAAAATTCGGAAATTGTTATAAAGTTTTGCGATGCCCTGACTCAGTTGAGGACAACTTGGTAAACATTTAAAGTAACTTCATCCATTTCTGGAACCCAATCCCATGAGAGTTATCCTCCTAACAGCAGTTCATAAATTGTAGATGGAGGGAGATAATTAAGAAGTGAGTTGCGTATAGATTAAACCAGTCACAGGCAGTGTACCTACCTAAAGAGAAGTGCATATAATAGGTCACATAAAATTTATGAGATATAAAATCACATTATTATTGAACAAAAAATGCAGCCAGTGTGTAACACATTTCAGAAAATGTTATGAACTCCTGCATGGATGTACAGTTCAGTAGTGATATGCTGCAGTGTTTTTCTAGGCCATGGGGTAGTAAATTTTCTGAGGGTACTTATTTCAAAGTCCCAACAGACTTAGGTCAGTAGTTTTATCTTCTTATGCCTCAGGCCAGGAAAATTGATAGATTCACCATTGAGCCATAAGCCCAGGACTGTACCTTTGCATATGCATTGCCATGAAGAAGAGAGCAAGAATGCAGTTTTATCACTATGATGGCATGCAGTTGTGTTTCATGATGTCTAGACCATGAATCACCACAGAGTTTCACATCTAGTCTGCTTGTGGTGGAACATTGGTTCCTCGGCTCTTTCACATAGACTGAATGTTGCTGCATTGCTAAAGATGAGATGAGTATGGTGGATACAGTGAATCTGAGCAAGTTTTCATCTAATCTGTAAACTAATCAGAGTCAATATAATGCATTTTTTTATATGCCACAGTCCATTAAAGGAATATTTTTCACCAGTGAAGGGTACCAATTATGTAAGCCATAGATTTCCCTTGCCCTATTTTGAGAATTTGCCATTCATTCTCAGCTCTCTTTGCATGCATGACCTCTGTGGCCTCTGATGGAACTGGAAATTCTACAGGAATACTGCAGTTATAATTAGGAGATGGAAGAGGACAGTTTAAACTCTTACCTGAGGAACCATAAAAAGAGAATTTTGCACCCTTAGAAATATCCTTTGAAGACCAGGCATAATCCAGAAATATGAAATTCAATCTCTTATATTCTGATAAAGAAAGTGAAATCCCTATTTTCAAGGTAAATCTTCGTTTGTTAAAAAGAAGTTTAGTACATCCGTAAGCACTCAAAATGCTTGGACCAGAAATTGTTGCAGGGAAGACTCAGTTACTTTCTATGCTTTCTTTTATAATTAATGCTGTTGTTAGATAAATGTGTCTGTAGATCCCCTGGAATCAGTGATTTTGTCTTAACTGATGAAGTGTTCATCTGTTTTATTTTACCTCATTTATGTATAATCTATGTCTAATGGCAATCCACTACTCAGTGTATGTTAATTACTATTTTATACTTTTATCACAGAGATAAACTTACAGTATGGCAGAGGGGAGGGTGAACTTTTTCCAGAAGTTCCCCCTGGGTCTCCCACTGATGTTCCAGAACCACGAATACCCCCTACATGCTCATCACCTGTCAGCAAGGTAAGTGAACGACATGAGTCATTTTGTTGTGTGTTTGCATCCAGGAAGGATGTATCCTCACTTTTTATACTGGTTAGAAGATTGTTTGAAGAAAATAATATTTTACTCAAGTCTTGAATTGAAAGGGATACAATAATGGATACATTCTTAGTTCGAATTCCTTGGATACAGGAAAGATGTAGTACTTACTTTACTTTAGTGTGTAATGGGAATGGAGTGATATTTAATGCTCAAATTAATTTCTATGTTTTTAAAGCATCCTGCATGGCTAACTGTTACTGTGTTCTTAAGCAAAGTGTACAAACATGACCAGTTGTATAGTTCTAGTTTAAATGTCTTACACAGATATTAGGCTTTCATGGTAGTTCATCATTAATGTTGCTCTTAGGTTTTTGAACTGTGTGGAAGTGGGCACTGTTCCCGGTGTTCTGGTGATACACACTGGTGAGTAGGATGTGTGCGGAATGTTCATGTATCCTGCTCACTTTAACCTTGAAGATGGAGGTACCATCATGTACCATCAGAACGAGAGCACTGCCCACTTCCACGTGGTGTACAAACTTGAGAACAGGGTCAGATCAATTTGTCTTACTATAATTAATCCTAATTATAATTTAAATCTTGTATGCTGAAAGAACACATTGGAAACTAGATCCGGTGATTGACATTAGCTGTTTCTAACAGATGCACTTAGTAGGTGCCTCCCCCACTCACCCACTCACCTAAGAATGGAAACAGGTCTAATGTCCAAAACAATATATTCTTTCAAAATTCTAGGTAATTAAAAATGTCCAGACATTCAGAAATCCCAAATGTAATATCCCATTGTCAGAATTGACAGTAAAAGCAAAGATGTCTTTGTGCTTAACTAATTAAGCACTACACCATGAAGGCATATGGAGGAGTGGATGTATAGATCCACATTTTCTTGACCTCGGCACTAGTTGGAGGTGAGTAGTCATCTTCACGCCTTGGTTGCTTTACCCCCCATCTCCCTGGGAAAGAGCCCACAGTAGCCATTGGATAGGATACTGGGTGGGCCCCAGAGCCACTCTGGATAATGCGGAGAAAACTCTTGACTCTACTGGTACTCGAACTCGGACCCTACGATCATCCAGTCCGTAGCTAGTCACTATACAGATTATGCTATCCTGGCTCTCATTAGAATTGACAGGAAGTTTAACGATTATAAATTTGTTGTGTAAGCTGAGTTAAAAGAGTGATCCAGTATTATTTCTGAACTTCAGAGATAAAACTTGAATGGTACAGTTTAAAATAAAGAACTGGTTCTTCTTGAACTAGGTGTTTTACACAAATACATGTATAATTATTGTATTTTTATAAAGCAATTAAGAGCTTGCTGTTCATCAGCTTCTAAAATTCCAGCTGTCAGTAATGCATTCATATTTACCTTTCAGCATTTCAATAGCTTGTTCTCATAAAATGCACAAATTTTTCTTTGTGATAACTTACCAAAACTAATGTTAGCCCTAGTATATTGTTTAGTTGTTCCAGCAACACAACAATTGTCAATGTATTTGTAAAGCAACAGTACGATACTGTTTTGGAGTGGTTTTCTTGTATCCAGTTTTAGTTTTGGTTTGCCTGGCTTGGAACTAAGGAGTATGTGAGCAGGTGCAAGGCTGTGACTGATCTTTGCAAGATACCAATGGAATAGTAGGCCACAAAATGAAAGAAAGGTACTATTTGTATACATATATCTTCAGTAATTTTTACACTTTGTTGTGAACATTTGTAGTTATTTCTTGATATGTTCCTTGCACTGTATGTTGTGCAAGGATCACTTGACTTCAGTTGTTCAGTTATAATATGAGCTAAAGTCTGTACATACAACAGCATTTTTTTTTTCCATTTAGAGTCTTGGTTCCCACTATGTAGTTCACTAATGCCATGTATTTTTTCTTTCCCTCCCTTCTTTATGAGGGGGTTGTTCACTGGATAAGACATAATGGTGAATATTCTTTACAGAGATTCACAAGAAAACAGTGTACTGATGTGCAAGGGTAGAGATTGGAGATGGTTAATATGCTGCTATGTTCAAATCACATGGTGACATGTTACATGATGTCAGTTCTATTGATTATTAATTTTATGTTGTTGTGTTTAATTTATTTTAGTAAGAAATTTCATCCCTTTCTTTCTGCATTTAAATCTCACATTTAGCTACCATCATGGTGCACATGATATTAGACAGTGAAGATGTTGTCACATTGTCACTTTGTTTTATTTATGATAAAAACACGGGAACAGGTCCATACAGTTGGGAAGGGAAGATTTTCTCTTTGATTCTGAAAAATATATTCTGGGATTGCAGTACTAAAATATGTGAGCCTCTTGTTCAAGGGTATTATTAAGTAGAGAAATTACAGACTTAGTCAGAGATTCAAAGACACACTTCCCTAGTACAGGAAGATATTTTTTTAATATGTGATAAGAAGAGAGTTGATCTTTTATTATGGAAGGGGTCAGAAGCATATGTGATTTGTTAAACATTATAAGTGTTTAGTTGTAATGTGTTATGGCCTAGTCAAGTGGGTGACTATATGAATGGAGAGACAAATTAGAGAAAAATGTAACTTATGATATATATTGATTTTTATGAAAAATATTAAACAGTTCATTAAATGATAAAGTTTTGGAAGAATTGATTTACAGGAACAGGTGTGGTTGGTGGTAGTTTGTTCTGTGTTTGAGTTATTGTTGCAGGAGCTTGATTTTTTACATTTAAAAAGTTATGACACTAACCTTTTTTGTAGAGATATATATCATCAAGCCTGGACTTAATAACTGTACTTGGTAACCTTTATGTAGATATGCATTGTTGTTGTACGTAAATAACTTCAGGTTTTGTCTAAGTAACAGTGTTAGTTGTAGCAGTCATGCTCACTAGTGTAATGCCTGCTGAAAATGTAGTGGGAAGTCCTCTCATTTGTTACATAAATTTTGTGTTTTCCTTTTTTGCATATGCTTTCACATCTTGCATGTGTTACTAAATGATGTGTCAAGGATAATAATTCTGTACGAGTGTGTCAGAGACTGAAAGTGACTTCATTTTTGCATTGTATAAATAACACACACAGTCAGTCATAAACTGTCTGCTATTAACTAACTCCATGCAGCTGAGCCCTTCTTGAGAATCTGCCAGTTTCGCAGCTACTCAAGAATTTCCCAACACATTATGGAACCTGAAGGTTCATTACCATATTCACAAGAGCCCTCTGCTTGTCCCTGTTCTGAGCCAAATCAATCCATTCCATACAACCCCATCCTATATCTCTTAAGATCCATCTTGATATTATCCTCCTACCTACTTGTAGGTCTTCCTAGTGGTCTCTTTCCTTCTGACTTCCCCACCAATATCCTGTATGCATTCCACTTCACAAACTCTCTCCTATTACATAAATAAATTACTTGGAAGAGGAATTGGTATGACTGCTATGAACTTATGAAGTAATGACGTAGATTCCAGAAGAAGTGATAGGATTAAATAAAGATGATTCCTGTTTTTAATTTGATTTATAAGTCATTTGGCAGAAATTGTGATTAGTACACATAGACAAATTTTATTTTAATTATAAAAACTTCTAATTGCAGAAGATGGTAAAATGCAGAAGTAAGATCTTTTGTTATATTTGTAAATAGGCTTACCATGTTTGAGTATTATACTTAAATGTATTATACAGAAACTACAAATGAACATGAACATAAGTCATTGAAGGAAACAGGACAAAAGTCAGTATGAATTTGATTTGCTAATCAGCAGTTTCTGTCTCAGTCAGGTTTCATATTGTCACAGCTATTGCACTGANTAAGTCCCAGGTTAACCTGTGTCAAATATGAGATTTATGTGGTCTTAAAGGTAGGATGTAGAAGCAGTTATTAACAAAGGCTTTACAAAAGCCAGACTTTGCATGGCCCTGGTCTAGAATATCATAGTTTTTTGTAACATTCAGATATTTAGAATTTATATCAATAATAAATTTGAAGAATTGATGAATGGTACAGGTTAGAGTTTTCTTTTCTTTTTGCTAAGACTATCCATCCAGTTTGATACTGAAGATGACTGTCTTCTGAGATGTGATGCCTTGTAGTCTGATGGATTAGTACCAATATTTGAGATGAGCATGTCTGCAAACATGGCATCACATGCCAGAAGACATCTGTCTTCATGGTCACCATCATCATAACCTCAAATTTAACTTTATTTGCTATTGTGTTATATTACTATATGAACTGAAGGCCATTTCTGGCAGTAGGAAAGGCTTGGTCATACAGGCCTGAATCTAGAAAAAGAGATAGATTTTTAAAACTGTTAATTCCTTTTTCTCCATATCCTCTCAGTGAAATGCTTGATTTGGTATAGTTCTTGTGTGGCTTCCAGGTAGTAGTTTCATAGTGATTTGCAATTATAACCCCCTGTAGTGCAGTTCCTTGCCTTTGAATAAGAGAAGACATAGACTGGACATGTACATTGAGATGTAACACATGAAGGAAGAAGATATTGCAAAATTTACAGTCGGAATGAAACGGAAGTAAAGTTGGGCTCAGCACTGAGTGGATGTCTACATCTGGTGGAGGATAGTTTCATATCTGCTTGTGTCCCCCTGCATGGGATTGCTGCTACTAATGTGTGCTGTGTTGTTACACTCACCATGGCCACGACATGCTCACGTGTGGTGTGGTCTCATTTCAGCTTGTGACTAGTGAAGGGCCACGTCCTGCTGTCAGAAGAAGGAAGCGTCAGTGTCAAGTGCTTGCTCATGACACTCGTCTGCCGACACAGCAGCCAAAGGCACCGAAGCGAAAAGTGAAAAGTGAAGTGATCAGTCCCTTACCAAGAATTTATGAATCAAACAAAGAAAACTCAGAATCTCCATTGACATATTTCAGTGATATCAACACTGTCAAATCTTCTTCCAGTGATTTTCATACACTTAGATCTTTCTCAAATGATATTATTACTCCTGAATCTTCACATGATTTTGATACTCTTACATCTTCTTACAAATATGTCAGTTTACCGAAATCATCATTGAATAATTTTAACACACTTGAAACCTACACTTCAGGGGACTATAGTGATTATCAGTGGTTTGATGCCAAGGATGAGGAAAGTTATTTCACAGGTTGTGAAAATAATTTGAGTGAACCAGTGAATGTAAATATTCATAAACAGTACCATGTGATAGAAGGTCAGCAAATCAGAATAATTCAAGGAGAGTCATGTAAGCACATAGAAGTTAAAACACCCAGTCATGGTGGTGGGCGTATTGAAAGAATGAATGAGTTTAATGTACAGAAAAAATATGATGAGCAGGATGATGATTCTTCATATGAAGACACAACGACTGCTGTAGACAGGCTACATTCAAATCAATTTGGGCAACATTTTTCTGAAAAATCTACTTCTGCAGCAAATACTGATTCTGGATCTCGCCAAGAAAAGACTGCAAGTGGCTTCTTTTCATTCCTGCGTTGGTTCCGGAAAGGAAAGGACGGTGATGATAACTGTGAAGAGGTTGGAGATGGATCATTTATTAAAGGACTGGCTTGCCCAGAAGTTCCATCTTCACCTCAGCTAATCCGCAGCACAAGCTCCAGTTGTGGTAGTATAGATACACTTTTCAGCACAGCCACTGTTAACAGTTTTGCTTTTGTAACACCTGCTTCTTACAGACCTTTTGGTAGTGCCAGTCAACCTGAGAAACGAATAGCAGTTGGTCCAGATACTGATACTTACAAAGATAGACTTCAGCAGAGAGACCAGATAAGGGAGCTGGATAGAAATCTGACCTTGAGGAAGAAGTACCACCTGTTTGGAAGTGGAACATTGGCGAGGAGTAGTGCGAATACCCCTAACTCTAGTCCTGTGGTAGAGAGAAAGGGTAAGGATACAACAGAACAGGCAATACAAGTTCACAATTTAACCCCAGGAAGTCAAAATTCAACATATGGGAAAAAGAAACGCAAAGCCCCTGATCCTCCAAGAGCTGAGTTTAGTGATAGTCTCCCAAACTCATTAGATAAATGTAGGTCTAAGAGTAAGAGTATGGACAATGGGGATCCAGTAGCTGTGAGAAAGCCACGACACAGAAGAACTGTTAGTGATTCAGCAAAGGATAAAAAAGCTGGGGCTTACTGTCACGTCAAAGGAAAGCGCAGAGCTCCGCAACCACCATCCCCATGCAGTAATTTAGAGCTGCAAGATGACAGCACCTTAGAAAGGTTGCACAGTCAGTTTGGAAGTTTTGGAAGAAAGAAGCGGCCTGCGCCACAACCACCAGAAGACAATATTAAGAAGAGAGGTAACAAGGATAGCTGGACCACTCATTCCTATCAAGAAAGAAGCAAGTCAACTGTTGAACAACTCTCTCCTGAAGAGAAAGAACGACTTATTGCAAATATAGCTAAGCTGAAAGCTCATGCTGATAAGAAGGCCTTACGTTCCTTAGACAATATGGATTCGGATTTGAAGTCCTCTGATGAACAAGTTGTTTGTAATGACTCACTTAAACTGGAGAGAGGAGTTCTGAAGCCAAACAAGGAGTTGCCGAAGATGGATACTTCCATTTCAGAAAGTAAAGCAGCACCAGTGTCACCTCGGCCCTGGTACAAGAGAAACCTTACAAACAAGGATGGGTTAAGTGGGCTTAAGCGAGATATCTTCAAGAGTCTAGAGAAAAAGAAAGAAAGAGAGAAGGAAAAGCATGAAGAGTGGATGCCTGAAGTTGGCATTCCCAGGGTTGTAGGGTCTAGTCTGTCCAGTGATGGCAGCAGTTGCAGCAGTACTAGCAGCAAATTCAACATTTTTGCCAGACTTGACCGGAGTGATGACAAGAAGAAAGAGGGTGATAAACGGAAATCACAGGTCTCGTTGCTGGCCAACATCAGTGAGTTGGATCGAGAGGCTGCAGAAATAGTTCAAAAAGAGCAAGCACGGGAGCAGGCACTCTTGGCTGCTCAAGATGCAAAGTTCTACTCCTATCCAGATGTACCAGTAATGAGCAGTTGCAGTGAAGAAGTGGAAATACCGAAGCGTAGCTCTGCTCGGGAACTCATATCTCTGTTTAATGCAATTGGTAATGCTACCAAAGTCACTGTTAACACCACTTTCTTTTCAAAGGAGGGCTCTAGCTTCTTCTCAAGAGAAGGTATTGAAAAAAGGTTTTCTTTTATGGGAGAAAGTTTACGTACTGCTGAACGAACAGTTGTCGTTGGTGAAAAGACATTTCAACATCAGAAATCAAACCAGGCATTTGTTACAGACTCTAACAGCTCATCAGCAAATTCCCCTGGTGTAGAAAGAGATAAGGACTCAATTGATTCAACCAGAATGACTGGAACATCAGATTTAGGATCTGCTGTTGCTATAGAGGAAATTGAAGATAGCCTTGAGAAATCATCTCGATCTCAAGTGATGTATGAAGTCAATAAATCTCGTAGGCATCACTCTCCTAGTCCAAGTATTCCCACAATTGCTGAACAGTCAGAATCTGCAAGTTCTGTAGCCACAACACCTGCTTCTACTTTGGACCCACCGCCAGATAGTAATCATGACTGTAGCAACATTCCTGTAACAGATCCTAGTCCAGATGTTTTGCAGCAAGCAAAGCGTGTGACAATATGGAGCTGTCCTAGATGCACCCTGGAAAATCCCCGTTGGAAGATATCTTGTGATGCTTGTGGCAGGTGGAGGCCCTCCCTTATGGATGATGAGCCTGATTCATTGAAGTGTGATGAGCCATTTCAGCGACCCACCTCACCTCTACATGATACTAAGAAGCCAACAACAAACAAAGTTCAGATTATAAAAATGGAATTGTCAAAAAAAGGAAAGGGTATTAATTGGGAAGAAGAATTGAAGAGATATTTACCCCAGAAGGCTGTTAGCAAGGATAAACATATTTCCAAGCATCCTAGTGAAGATACGGATCTAAGAATAGAGAACATTGCAAAAATTTCTGTTGATGGCATACAGATAAATTCCAACACCCATAGCCAAGTGGTAGCAGTAGCAGAAAATGATACTGGAAAGACAAAGAGTGAAGAATTGCTTACAGACAAAAATAAAACATCGCCATCTACATTCATTGGAGACATAAAAGAGGATAAAGAGGAAGCCATTAACAAAAGTGCAGAAGGCGGTTCTGGTACTCTAATGGTGAATGGTGTAGTACCATTAAGGGAGAAACCAGATGTGGTTGAAGTGAGAAAAGCCAGGCTTGCCTTTTTCAATCGAACAACTGAGAAGCATAATCAATCGATTTTCTGTTGTGAAACTTCTGTGTTAGATGAATCAGGTGTAGAACAGAAAGTTCATGAAGATATTAGTAGTGAATTGGCAACAAGGAAAAAGCAAGTAGATAAAATTGAACAGTTGAAACTTAGGGAAATGTTAAAAGACATGAAAAATTCTCTCCCCAAGAGACCCCAAAAAACCATAATTAGTATTGACAAAAATCAAACTTCAGGTGTTGGAAACAGTTTAAAATCGAATGAAAGTGACAGTATTGAGTCTAAACCTCTGCATAATGTACATAAACTTGGCGCAATTAAGAAAGTTCCACAGAGAGCATCAAAACGTGAACCTAAAAATACTAATAATCCATTAGGAGCTAATTCCAATCAAGAAGATAAATTTAAATTTCAGAATGGAATTGAGGATGAAAATAAGAAAGCTGAGGCTATTTGTATTACAACAAAAACAGTGTATGAGGGCATCAAAATGAAGAAAGCAGGGAAACCTCTGAAGGTATCAACATCTGTACAGACAAATTCCTATATGCGAAAAACCAACGTAGAACAAGGAGAAAATTCGAAGAGCATGACAATGGTTCCTGTGACAGTGGAGGAATTTTCGACTACTGGAATCAAAGATGGTGTGCTATATACATCTCTGAACAAGGATTCACGCCGCATCGGTAAAGGAACATTTGAATTGATCCATGCCAGGGATTTTGCAAATATTGAGGCAACTAAAATTACTGGTGAATCAAGTGCTGTCCATGTCTATGCAAATGTTCCTCCATCTTCCATCCCAGAACAGAATTCTCACCTTGTTTCTGAATGTATTACTCAGCCTGTTTTCCCTCCTCAACAGCCAGTACCAGCATTGGTCCAGCATCATAGTGGAAACAAGAGAAATGTTAGTAAAACTGAAGAAAGCATACAAAATGGAAAAAAGAATGATCTTGGGAAGCAAGGCGTTGCGTTGTTCAAGGAATCCTCCCATGCCACATCCAGTGTCACTTCTGCTGATTCTGATTTGAACAAAGGAGGACCTTATCAGTTGAATCAAGGGACATCTGAAACTAGTAATTCCTCAGTGGCAAGCGTCAGCAGTGGTGATTGCAGTGAAGTTGAAAGGCTAACTGCACAACTCACTCTCCCCAAGGGAATAGCAGATTTCAAAGGTAATCTGTAATCACAATCTCTATAAATAAGACAGGTTTAATTGTTTTGATGTTGGAAATGATGGATAGGTGTCAAGAATAATGAGATGATGATGATGATGATGATGATGATGATGAGGAGGAGGAGGAGGAGGAGGAGGAGGTGGTGGTGGTGGTGGTGGTGGTGGTGGTGGTTCATTGTCATCTTTGGTACAAATAATATGTTTCTGGACATTATCCATCCTGTTTCTGTCTCAAAACACAACGTTTCAGAGATTGGATTTTGTCTCTGTCTTCAGGTAAAACCTACTTAATTGGGTTGTTGGTACAGTTGTCTGGAGATAGAGACTAGCTCTGTCAATTTAAGCTTGATCTACCTTATATAACAGATTCTACAGTTGTAATGAGGCTACTTTGTATGTTTTAAGTTACAAATTATTTTATGTATAGTCACATTACTAACTTACATTTTTATTTGGTTCTAGATGTTATTGTTATGTGTATAAGCATAATTAAAGTTAATATTGGTTTTTTATTAGCTGAGAGTGACTGAAAACTTAACAGTCACATTTGATTAATTCAAAATGTTTTGTTGTGTGACAATGTATAACAGTTGCATACAGACTCTTGAAGGAGATTCATTTGAAACAGTACCCTCAATTACACCTATATAGAATGTTAAGCATTCCATGTAGGCTAGTTTGCTCTGGGTCTTGCATCCCCTTGATGTTGTCACTGAGGAGCATTGTTCACTTTCTACTTTCTCACAGAGGTCTTTAAACAACCTGGTGTTGAAAGGCCTGGATTTGATGTTATATACAATATTTATGGCTTCATACTGCATATTTTTCAGGCCCCTTTTCATCATTTTAACAAGTGCTTGTTGGAGGAGCCTGCAATGACTGTTCTAAAAAGATAGTACCATAACTTTAATATCGGCTACCCTGCTCATTTCTCTATCATCTGTAAACACATTGACATGCTTTTGCCAACTGATTTCATGTTTGGGATTGCTGGATTAATCATCTGGTATTCAAAAGAACACATTGTACATTTTGCCATTAAATCCCATTGACTAAGGCTGATCCCAGGTGGTAATATAACTGTAGTTATACTGGCATAAGTTGTCAAGTGACTGAGGTTAGCCCTTTCTAAAGCACCCAGCAGAGTGTTTCTCACCCCCTCACCTGAGTATGGAAACAGATCCTGTTTACAAAACGTTGGCTTCTTTAGAATACCAAATGATGGACAAAGTCCAAAAACCCAGTAATTCCAAGTGTTTTATGCTGTCATCCAAACCCATCAGAATCTGATTTCATGTTCTTTCATATAGGTAGCAGTGACAAAAGAATCTCTTCCCCTATGTTTCTCTCAAGAGATTTACAGCATAATAACTCATCCTGCAAGTCTGTTCTTGTATCATTAATGAAGAGACACGAGTAACGCTGCTAATCCAGCGGTGTATGAAAGCTAACATACTTATTTTGAGACTAAATAACAATCTCAGACCATTTGTCATTAAATAGGGCCATTTTACTCACCAATCATGCAGTCTCCACTTAGAAATTATACCAGTAATCATACTCCAGTCCAGTATATAACTTTTTTATCTTAAGTGAAAACCAAATCAGTTTTGGCAGGAACTCTCAGCTTTATAGCTAGCCAATAGAACATCCATGTTTGCTGTTGGTGATGTTAATAACTGCTGTAATCATGAAAAAAAAACAGCAATGATAATCAAAATTAATGGGCAGGAATTACTGTAAGTGTAAATTCATCTTGGTCCTTTCCTCCTGTCAAGCCATAAACATTGGCACATTGTTGTGATATTCTTGTTGCAGCCGATCTCCGAGCAACACCTCCAGAGCAGAATATGAATACCCTAGCTATTAATCGTTTGTTGCGTCGTCTTGAAGCAGCTATTGCTGGTGGACAGCATAACCAGGCAGCAGTGTTGGCTAAAGACCTAGCGCGACTGAAAATCAGTTGCTCTGTAACTCGACAGCGTCGTAGTTTGGATGCTAGTCCAGCATCTATCATGTGAGTTGCTTTCATCAACTATGCCTGCATTTTCTTCACCAGTATAATTTTACTCTTGACCCTGTGTTCACTAATGATTCTGCAAAAGGTGTGCTGGAATACTGTCACAGTAATTTATATTTGGGACAGTCTCTAAGTAACAGAAGTAGACCTGATAGCAAATTTTCACCAGTTAGAGCACTGAATTTCTCACTGCTTCATAGCCTGGAATTATAAGTATCAATATCAGTTCACTGTTCAGCCAATTCACCTTGAAGATGGAGTTGGGCCATGTTCACTTGCCAAAATATTGGGATATCACCCAGGACTGGACTCATATAGGAGCACATTATTTACAAGAGGCAACTATAATATTTGGGTGAGCATTTGTAAACTGAAAGCAACAGGTACTAACTCATCAATCTCCAAGTGTACTAGGCAACAGATAACATTATGTATAAGCATGAAAAATTTAAAATTTTGCGGAGTGTCCGTCAGTTTTAGGCCTTCTTTTTCCTTTTCTTCTCCATACTCTCATTGAACTCAATACCTGTACCTTAAATTATTTTCAGCATTACATTTTTTTGAGGTGGGGGGACATGAAGCTTCACCTATTCTAACCTATTACCTTGTAGATTTGTTGATATCTCACCAGGGTTGATATGTATGTGGAGGATAAAGTGTCTCACCAAGGACCCATCTCTCTGCAAGTGATTCCCACCATGACAGTTGCTCAACTGAAAGAGAAAGTTGAAGAGGAATTTGAGATTCCAGTTAGGGTTCAGCGTTGGATTCTCGGAAAGCTGCTCGCTTCAGATGATAGCAAAATGCTGCAGGATCACAATGTCAATTCCAATGGCTGTCCAATGTTCCTTTATTTGGTTGCACCTGGTGAGTACAGCTGTTTATGTAATTTTTATGTATATTGTGACATGAGCGCCAAAAGAGACAGCTGTTGTTAGGCATTGGCCATTGTACATGCACCTGCATCAACAAACACGTGGCCCATTGCTAGGCAACAGCCCCTTTTGACATGTCACACAGAAATAAGGTAACTGTCTTGACATGACATGTATACTCTTGTACAGTGGTTTGTAAAATATGTGGATCCGTGAAACTCTAATAGCGACCTGTAATTATGAGTTATAAGTGTTCATTAAATCAGTTACAAATCCGAAACCCTTGTCTAGCCACTAACATGTGACAGTATTAATTTGTTCTTTTTTACATTATGGTTCTACAGCCCTTTGTTGGGCCTTGGCCACTTCTTCAGTTTCTTGTTCCTGTACACAGTTGGTAGGAATCCTTGGATCTGAGATCAGCCCATCGCAAGGCCGCTACCTACACACAGGACAACATAAACACAATAAGCGCACACAGACATCCATGCCTTCAGTGGGATTCAAACCCACGATCCCAGCTTTCGAGCGAGTGGAGACAGTTCATGCCTTAGACCGCTTGGTCATTGTGATCAGCAATTTGTTCATTTCTAACTTTAATTTCTAATATGTCTACCAACTGGACTGTGTGTTTCCATATCTGCATTGTAGGTTCAATCCCACTAATATTGGGTTTTTCACGGTTCTCACTCCCGTTCCTCATACATATTGAATTTGTATACATCAAACCTTCTCATGTGAAAATACTGTATTTACACATGCAATTTACAGACACTCTTACTTGAGAAATTGTGTCTGTAAGTTGTGGTGCATAAAATATGCAAATACAGTAAACCTTCATTATAACGGATGAACAGGGAGAACAGCTGCTGTTATCAACGTTGTCTGCTATAACCGAGTCAAGAGATATTCATGGAAGTACACCATAGTGTACATATCCCATAAACAGTGTGATTACATAAAATTCTTTTATTTTAAATAATATATGTCTCTAACTCTAAAAGCTTCTAAGTGCCTTAGCATCTCTAAAAATTCACAATTTTACATGGCCAGATTTTTTCTGTTATTTCCAAAATCCGTTATATCCCAGTCTGTTGTAACACGTACGTTCACTGTACTACTTTTCAGATACGTGGTATGTTCAAAAAGTATCGAACCTTCTTTTTTCCCACGTAAACCAATGAAGCGCGGGAGGCTCCCTTCAGTGGAGATGTGGAAAGGACATTCATGCGCAGTCGTGAATTTTTTCCTGCCCGAAGAAAGCGTCAGTCTCTGGCAGTCGGCCTATGAGTGAGGACGTGTAGTGAGCGCTCGTTGGATTCCAGTAAGGTGTAAAATGACAGAACAACATGAGCAGCGATATTGCATCAAATTTTGCCAAAAGCTTGGCTATACCCAAATGGAAACCATTCGCAAGATTCAACAGGCTTTCAGGAACGATGCCATGAGCAACTCACGGATAAAGGAGTGGTACAACCGCTTCAAAGATGGCCACACATCAGTGGACAGCAAGCCGCATTCAGGCAGACCCTCAACAAGGCGAAATGAGAATGTCATTGAGCAAGTGCGGACTTTGGTCATGGAGGACCATCGTATCACAGTCCAAGAACTTGCGAACGAGATAGGGGTAAGACATCCCCAAGGCCAAAAAAGCACGGCAGGTCCGCAGCAATGTCAAGGTCATTTTGGCCATTTTCTTTGGCTCCTGTGGGGTTGTGCATCATGAGTACACACCACAAGGCCAAACCATCACAAAGGAATACTACCAGGAGGTCCTTCATCACCTTTGTAATGCTGTGCGGCGCAAACGACCGGATCTGGGGGCAGCTCCATCATAATAACGCACCCACCCATTCTGCGCATCTGATTCAGATTTTCATCACCAAACACAACATCCCTGTGGTTCGTCAGGCTCCCTACTCCCCCGACATGGCTCCATGTGACTTTTGGCTATTTCCCAAGCTGAAAATGCCACTGAAAGGAACCCGATTTGAGTCAAGAGAAGACATCATGCAGAATGCGACGGCCCGGCTGATCACCATTCCAAAAGACGCATTCCAGAAGTGTTTCCAACAATGGCGGAAGCTGTGGGAGAAGTGTGTGCATTACCAAGGAGACTACTTTGAAGGGGATTAGGGTTTTGTACCTCCAAATCAATAAATGTATTTCTGCTGACCAAAGGTTCGATACTTTTTGAACACACCACGTATAATTTTCACAGTATGCTGAAGCAGTTAGACTTGAATGCAATGTGGCAGTGTGATATGGATATTTGCACCTATCAACCCCACCACATGATTTATCAATTAACTTTGAGATGAAAATTCCCATTAATGATATTTCAACTGGTACGTAATTTCTGTGAAACACACCAACAATGTTCCACATATCATGTTGCTGTAATGTATTTCACTTTATTCATAGTGTAGTCAAAACTTCTGGTGTTATCTGTCATCATTGCTTCAGTGAGACCTTGCTCTAGTGAGTGGCCCTCCCTTGCTCATACATCTAAGTTAAATATTTCCTTGCATTATGTACTAGTAGCTGAAAGGGGCATGAGTGGATAGTTACTTATTTCTGTACAAATTGACCAATATAAAATACAGAGTTGATAATAATTGTCTGTTAATTCTTTGGAGATGGTGAACAGGAAGGAGATTCCATGGGAACAGCTGAAAGCGTAAAGAAGCACAATGCATGTGAAGTGACTGCCCATGTTCCTGGCCCAGCAGCGCCTCAGCCTGAGCATCCTGGTGGAGGGTGGTATTACAATAATGAAGAGGATCGTTACAGCTTTTGTGAGGATACTGAGTCAGAAATGACAGATGATGATGATGATGATTCAAGGTAAAAGAATTTTATCAGTATGATGGAATATATTGCTTTTGAGTATTAACTGACTTCATGGAGCTGAGCCATTCTTGGGAAACCACCAGTGACTCAGCTGCTCAAGAATTTCCAAACATTTTATGGACCTTATAGTTCATTACCATGTTCAAAAAGGGTCTACTGGTCTCTATCCTCAGCCAGATCTATACAGTTCTTNTTGTTATCGCAGAAGTTTATGCGTGCATTAAATGTTGAGAAGCTCGTATTCTGACTGTATATATATATATATATATACACACATACATAATTCACAACTAATAAAGACATTGTTTTTAGTAATGAAGCCATTGAAATGAAAATTATATTGTAGCATATACAGCCATTGCTATGCAGTAGGTGAATAAACAACAGTGTTATTGAGAACATTTTGAACCTTTGAAAATTTACTTTTAATGCACAGTTTTTTCTCCCCCTTTTTGCAGACATATATTGATACTTAGTGCAGGTTATAAGCGACCTCCGTAGTCTAGAGGTAACGTTCCCACCTCATGACTTGTGGTACGCGGGTTCAAATACCCGGCGGAGGTCGTCGAATTTTTAAAGGGTGGAAAAATTCAGGGAACAAGTCCTCCGGGAGGGACTTTAAGCTGTGTGTCCCGTGTCGTAACTTTACGGCACGTAAAAGAACCTCATATCCCCAAAGGGGATCACTGAGCCAAATTCCAGGACGTTTCCTGCCCAACAATAGTCTTTAAGGCCTCTGATAGATGGGGGAAGCATTATAGACACCGCTAAGCAAGTGGCCGAACTCGCTTGCTTGATGGGACTGATGGTACTCACCATTTATCGATAGGGTAAAGAGACTGGTAGAATATCATAGAGGGAAGCACAATAGATCAAACTGGTTGCGGTGCATGGGGAAACCCACCCTCTCTAAATAAATAACTAACTAACTAACTAACTAGGGCAGGTTATACCTCCTTTGATTTTTGCACCACCATATGTGGTTGAAAAGAAATAGGTTTTATGATAATTAAACAGACATTTTAATTTATTTTTTAGGGAAACAAGTCCAGTGAAGGAAGGTAATAGACCGGATGAGAGTAGGAAAGACACAAAAGATGATGATGATAATGAAAAGGGAGATGATGCAATAGTGGGTGCAGCAGCTGTGGTGATACATGAGAGACCAGTAGTTGTACAAGCACCATTCATTGGCAGATCATTTGTGAAACAGGCTCCTCAGTTCCAGAAGACAGTAGTAGATCAACAGCCAAACAGATCATCTTCAAGTAGAGCATCTCAGCTTCTGAGTCTGGAGGAAACTATGAAACCTGGCACAGATCAAACTTTTCAGTCTCCAAAAGGCACACCTATAAGAAGGGCGACCATTACAGACCAGAAGGCTGGTACTCTCCAGCTAGGTTAGTTCTGTTATGATGACTTGCAGCCCAATTTTATAGATCATAATGTGGGTGGCTTCTGCATTTATGATGTAACATTACATTTACTACGATGAACATTTTCCTACC